ATGAGCAACCTTTTACTGTTCTTTCCGCTTGTTGTGATGACCATCATGATTTCATCATCAACCAATGCGATGGAAATGATGGAAGGGGGACCAAAAAATCAAACAATATATTATTCTCAAAAGTTCAATCATTGTTGGAATGTATCGGAATACATGACAAATGCTAGAAGTTTTTTTAAGAGAGATTGGAAATGAGCAATGGATACCTGATGACTTTGGATGTTCAAATATTTCGTTATGGACGAATTATGGAATTCAGCCTGTTTTAGTGAGATCGGGTGAAGTTGTGTGGTATTATAGTTTTGTGGTTTTTGAGAATATTGGAAAGAGCTATGATGTTTGCACGAAAGTGAGAAGATGGAAAGAATCTCTGCAATTATCATGTGATGCTCTGTTTTGTGACTTTAATGGAACTACAGACTTGGTAACGTTTATTGAAAGAGAGACAAATTTTTCAACAACAATATACGATTGGATCAATTATTGTCAATATTGTACGAATGATAGAACCCTGAGATCCTACAAACAACAGAATTCATACAGTCCAAGTAACTTGAAAACATGTATTTCAAAAGATGAAAAAGTGAGTGAAATGCTGAATCAATTTCCGAGCTCAATAACGTACTGTGGAAACTACCAATTTGGAATACCGTTCATCGTTAACAGTACTGCCATCGAACCGAATGTATTACTCGGACACTACTCGTACATTTGTTATTGTATAGATGGCGATTATTTTGCGCTCAAGTGTGAAAATAATCCCTCTAATTTTGCAGCAAGACAAGCCATTGGCGCTGTGAACTGTATTCTTCATGGACTTTCACTGCTCTTGGCCTTTTTTTCAACATTTATTCCAAAAATTAGGACATGTATCAAGCGAAAGAAAATACTCAACGGAGTGACGATATCAAGTGTGGTATTAAGCGAGTTTGTACTAACTTTTGCAGGTATATTTGAAGTCGCCTACGCAACAAGTACTACATCTACCGTCATTGGTAATATGGGAATTGCTATGGTTTTTGCAAGTCTCTTTACGTGGGTGTTGAGATGGGTATCATTGGTGTTGCTTATCAAGACCAAACGTACCAGAATGGTCATAATACTATACAGTCTATTAGCAATTTTGTTCATTTTGGTTGGAATTGCTCTGCCAATTGTCATGACAATACTTGGAGACTTGAAATCGATTGTTCACTTTTTTCTCCTACTACTCAGCTGCAATGTCTGCAGGGACTGTATTCTTATTCGTCATTTCATCAGCATGGATTTATTGGGCAATGAAGCAAATTTCAGATGTGGACATTTTCAACTCTTCCGTAAGTAACTGTTTTCGTTGTGACTCAATTATTTACTTTTTTGGCCATATCGAATTCTCTAATAGTTTTTGAAATTTGTAGGGTTGTTTGCCGTGTCTTGTTTCCTATTTTCTTTCTGTTATATGGTTATATCGACAGTACCAGGTGGTTTTTTCAATGGATTAATTGCTGGTGTTATTAACATTGCCATTCATTCTTCGCTTGTCGCCATCTCAAACGGGTTAACGTACTCTGAATTTGATAAGGAAGATTTTTATGAATGCTTGAATTATTTAATTTGCAGAAAAGCCAAACATGAAAAAGGACAAATAGAGAGCACACCAATGTCAGCAAATTCTGATCCAAATTCTTCCTATTACTCACAATTATTAACCTCTGAACATGAAAAATAATCTGTCTGATTTCAAGTGCAAATCACTACTAGTATAAGTTAATCAATGGCAACAGAAGACAGGTGTAGAGATTCATTGGATAGAATAAGGATTTCATCAAAACTCTTCTTCATCATAGTATGATAGCTCAATAGAGCAGTTCCCAAATGATGCCCTTCATACTTGGATTTGTCATTTAACACCTTCAAAATATTGAGAATACGATTAGTTGATTCAGCATCTTCAGGGTGTTTTTCTAAGTGTGTTGTAAGAATTTTTTGAGATTCCATGATTCTTTCCAAAATGATACTACCTGACATGGAAGACAAATTACGATCTTCAAATATTGAAAAGGCGGCTTCAAAGTCTTTGAATCTACTGTTAGTCTTTTGCTGTTCTAGCTCATACATCCATTCTATGCACAAGGGTACGTTAGAACAATGACTTTGTTGCTTGACTCACTTACCGTCTCTTTCAAAATTGTTTTCTTTCATGACTTCATAAATGGAAGAAACAGAGCCATGGAAGGTTTCATTCTCAATTAACAACCTCTCCACTGGTCTCACCACGAATGCGCTTTTTCCTTCAGCACAGACAGAATTTGAATCTGCTAAAATATGACACTTTCGAGCGTGACACAACGACGCGAGTTTCTTTGAATTTTCAATCAATGGACCCACAATACTGTAAACTCTCATTTGATTTGTTCCTAGATTTCCAATATTAGTCTTTCCAGTCGCAATACCAATACAAATATACGCTTTTCCGAAATTCTTCAAAGCACTTTCGAGAGTCTTTGCAATTTTCAGAGATGCATCCATGGCTGCCAGGTTGGGCTTTTCTTGCCTTGTGTGAATGAGAGCCGATATTCATCAACGCCAAGCACTTGAACATCAGCTTGCATGGACTTGGAAACCACACTTAATCCATTGGCAATTTTTGCAAAAACATGAGAGATTTCCGAGACTGTCACGCTTTTAAACATGTCCACAATTCGGATCGTCACAACACTCACTTCCTTTTCGATCAATCCTAATTTGAATAAATTACCATGAGGATCTAATTTCTTATTAATAAGACTGCTGCCATTACGAGATGAGAATGAAAATCCGTGACTACTTAATCCTACCATAGTGTGCTGCTCATTATGGACTGCTATTTTAGAATTCGATTCATGCAAGGTATTTGATTTGCGAGGGTCAATGATATTTTGCTCCTCTTCCTCCATGTTTCTCAACTGATTAAATATTGCCTCTGGTAAGAAGTTTTTGAATTCATTAAGCCACGCAACCATGTCATGAAGATCTTCATAAATCGAGTCAATCTCTTTAAATCTTGACGACGTGAAGCTCATTTTGTCGAGATCGAATTTCTTAATTTTCATAAACTGGTTTTTCAAATACCTTAATGGATGAGTAATTAAGTAGCCAATAACAATACTCATTAGTAGACCTATGAAAATGACAACAGTAGCAATAGCTATTGATATACCAGTATTGATCGTAGAAGTTTTAGTGACGTCCTCCATATAAATCACCATATAAACATTCCAACTCAAATTTTCAAGCTCAAAGTTCATGCGATAAATTAAATAATCGACACCCATACTATTGATTTGAAAACTGTCTGGGGTATTAGATAGTGCTCCGTATTTGTTTGCAATATCTTTCATAAGAATTCCTGCATTTCTATCTGTCAACTCAAACAAGGAGACACGAGATATCTTGTTCAGAGCGGTTGTGTTAATAGAACCTCCAATAACCATGCCAGAGGATTCTGAGACCAGGACATAACCATTTCCAAGAAGCTTCAATGACGAAAGGAACCGTTCAATTGAGAGTAAAGAAATATTGACTTTGGAAATACCAACCACGCTTTTAGTCTTATTGGCAGCGTATAAAACAGGATCAAATAACTTGGCAGAATAATACATCACTGAGGTGCTATTGGTAACTATTAATTTGACATGTGACATTCAAAGGTGGCGAAAGTTTCAAGCATGTCACAATTACAAAAAGTGTTACACTCTTACACTTACCAATATAAGTATCCCCATACACTCCATCTCTTTGATACAAATCAAAATATTTCATACTTGTGACATAGTAGTCTCTTTGTGACACAATGAATGGTGTCGTCTGATTACTAAAAATAGAGACCTTGGATCCATCAGTCTCATTAGCATACCACACCTCTACTCCAATCATACCTTCTGGTTTATAATACATGATGAATTGTTGGTTTGAAACGCCATTTTTAAAATATGTCAAATTCGTGTATGAATAGAATTCATTTGGAAAATAGACACCAAATCCTGAGAAGCGATAAATTTCATTCTTCGTCCACAAATAATTCAGAGCTCTTCTTCCAATAACACCACTGTTGAAATCTTCTGCAATCGTTTTAGCCAATCCTGAAATGGGTGAAATTTCTCCTTTCAAGTACACAATAATCTTATTTCCAACTTGAGAAATTAAGGAATTTGACAGCTCTGTAAATGTTTGATTGGAACCAATAAATGAAGCTAACCAAATCAACACTGAACATGTCACCAGTAAAGCAATGATCATTAAAATAATGACCACTCTCAATGAAAACCATCCTTCAAGAGCAACAGGTTTCTTATCCAAAATATTTCCAGAATTGTTGGGTGTTTGAAGCAATTCTTGATTTACAGAGTCGGTGGATGAGGTGGTAGAGACTGTGGGAACAATCTTTCTCGTCATGATCTTTTACAATTTTTTTTTGTATTTCGTTGTTGAAATCGAAGAGTCTAATGGAGAGAAGTTTTACATTTCGGCAGCTCCCGAAAGAGATACATCTCTAGCGACAGGTTTGTATTTGATTTCTAGGAATTGTAAATTATTACATTTTTTCTTTTGGCCACTTGATGGCCATGTTTGACAAGAGAGAGATTCAACGCGTTGACTACTTCATTGTCTCACTTTGTCCATTCACAGAACTCATTCACCGGAGGTGCCTCACATCATTCTTATCCTCTCACGAAAGCACATTTTTTTCATAATCCTATTGGTTGGTTATTATAATCGCGCACATTTGATCATCAAGTCTGTATTCAAGATTCAAAAGAACGAGCTGAAAGTGGGCAAACTCTCTCAAATCATCATCCTTACAAAAAATGTCCAAACTCTTCCTCTGTTCCGTCTTGTTGGTGTTCTTTGCGGCTTGTTGTGTGCTCGCTGCTGATTCAGAGTCGTTGCTTTCTAACGGAGCTACTTTGGTCGTAAACACGGATTCTTTGAATGTCCGAAGTGGACCATGTACCAACCAAGGAGTGATTACAAGCCTTTCACTAGGTACTTCAGTAACTTATATTGGTGAAACTGCGAGCGGATGTGGTTATTCTTGGCATAAAATTAGAGGCAGCTTTGGAGTTGGTTATGCTGCTTCTCAATATTTGAATGAACAGTCAAACAATGGTGGTTCTTCTGGTGCTAGCATTACTGTGGATCAATTGAAGGCTTGTATGCCTGGATTGTCTGCAAGCAAGGCTAATATTTATATCAATTATTTGAATGATGCTTTGAGAACTGGTAACATCAACACTTGTTGCAGAAAGAGTGCTTTCTTGGGTAAGTTTTTTGGTGTGGATCTTGAAAGACTGTGAATTGACAAACGCTGTCAACTAATTTCCATTTTTGGTCAACTCACTGGCGTCAACGAAAATCAGCCCAACTTGCTCACGAGTCTGGAGATCTCAACTGGTGGGTTGAATTCGCTTCTGGTGCTGCTTATGAAGGAAGAAAGGATCTCGGAAACATCTATCCTGGCGATGGTGTCAGAGTAAGTAGTGATGAATTATATATAACATTCACAATACATCGTTTGTATTCACACAACAAATGCTTGAACTCAACCATTTGAACCTCATTATGAACAGTATAAGGGAAGAGGCCCAATTCAAATCACTGGTAGAGCTAACTACAGAGCTGCTGGTCAAGCCATTGGTGTTGATTTGGAAAATAATCCAACCAGAGCTGCTGACACTGATGTTGGTTTTAGAACTGCTGTCTGGTTCTGGAATTCTCGTTCATTGAACCAATATGCTGATCATTGTGATCAAGCTAACTTTGATATCATCACAAGAAGAATCAACGGAGGATACAATGGTAAGGCTGACAGAGATGCCAAGTGGAGACGTGCTAGAAGTGTTTTGGGTTGTTAAACTTTTGTTCATGTTGCTTTATTTATTGTATTTTTACCCATAAACTTCAAATTGTTCTACAATTAATTGAAAAAGGTGTTTAGTTTCTTGATGATTGTTAGTGTATTGAAGCAAAACAATAATCTGCGTACGGTGAATCCAACTCATCTATCAGGATTTGTGCGATTTCATTTGTTTAAATCACCCTTAATCTGTCGATAAAACCAGATCGTGATAATAGCATTTTCCATTGTCACTAATCATTACTAAGTTTCTGTAAAGTGACATCGTTTCATGAAATGAGGACATTTTCTGAAACCAAATAGGCTTTCCTCCATTTCTCAATTACAAAAATCAGAAAAATCTTGATTACTATAACCGCTAGGGCAAATCAAACTTCTGAAGTCGCACTTTTAGCACAATCATTGAACATACGTTCGGGACCATGTACCAATAAACGAGTATTGGCTTCTCTCACGCAAGGCAAACAAGTCACTTACACTGGTAAAACAGTGAGAGGATGTGGTTATTTGTGGCATTCTGTCAGAGGTGCTTTCGGTTTGGGATATGCTGCTACTCAATTCTTGTCCGAGAAGAGATCCTCAAAACCATCACCAAGCAAACCAAGTGGACCATCCAGTCCAAAGCCAACTGCTGGTGGTTTGACTGCTGCTCAATTAATGAGATGCATGCCAAATTTGAGAACAAGCAAAGCTGTTACTTATATCCCATATTTGAATGCTGCTATGAAGAGTGGAAATATCAACACTTGCTGCAGAAGAAGTGCTTTCTTGGGTAAGTGTTCCAGCATGATCTTACGTGACAGTGTCGAACTCCTTCGATATGTTATGATATATTTTCTGTCAATGCTGTTGACATGGTCATGATAACAACCATCAAATCGTCAAATTCAAACATAATACCATACATCATGAATAGCTCAATTGGCTCACGAAAGTGGTGATCTAAACTGGTGGGTTGAATTTGCTAGCGGAAGAGAATATGAAGGAAGAAGAGATCTCGGCAATATTTACCCAGGCGATGGTGTTAGAGTAAGTATCTATCACCTCTTTCAATACGGTAATATCAAATACTATTCTTCTACTGAACGAATTTTAAATTAATGAAATAACAAAATCTCACAACAAAAACAACAACAGTATAAGGGAAGAGGCCCAATTCAAATCACTGGTAGAGCTAACTACAGAGCTGCTGGAAGAGCTCTCGGAATTGATTTGGAGGGACATCCAACCAGAGCCTCCGATGTTGATGTTGGTTTCAGAACGGCTGTCTGGTTCTGGAATACTCGTTCCTTAAACACTTACGCTGATCGTTGCAATCAAGCCAACTTTGATATCATCACAAGAAGAATCAACGGAGGATACAATGGTAAGGCTGAAAGAGATGCCAAGTGGAGACATATCCGATCTGTGTTGGGTTGTTAAACTATAAGGATGATGATGAATATTTTTTTGTGTTGTTTTTTTCTTCTTTTTTGTAAACTGTTCATCTGAGGAATTAAGGAAGGAAATAAAACTTGTCACACAAGAAAACCAACAACATTGGAAGACAAATTCTCGAAAGCTAAACTCGTTAGTTATATTTATTGGACAAGACAATTAAAATATCTAAGGCGTCCACCCAATCTGTTCGATCCTCAGAAGAAGAAGCATCAAATACGTAGGTTCGAGTAGCAGTCGACAATTTGAAACAATACAATCTACCACTCAAGTCCTTGTCACTCTCAGATGCATATTGAACTCGTGTACCCTTCAATGAGATGGAATCAATTGGCTTTGGATCTCCTTTCTGTTTATAATAAGAGAGTTGATATTGGCTTGGAGAGGATTCTACACTTTCAATAATGAAATATCGTTTCTTCCAACTCTTAAATCCTCCTCCTTGTTTCACGAGAAATCCTGTTTTGTTTTTGCTTTCTCTGCTCGATCAGCTGTTGATAAATTTCCACTGTTGCCACTACTTGTGAGAGAGGATGATGAGGAATTTGTGGTTTTTGGTTTGACATTGATGAGAGTGGATCCTCGTACTGAAGTTCGAACAGTAGTGGAAGAACTGCTTAATAAGGACGAAGAAAATGACAAGTTGTCACTTCCATTGCTATCAAACAGTGGATTGGCAAATGCAGTAAAGTCGCTGGTGTAATCATTCGCTGTTTCGAGCTGTTTTGTCGAGTGGTGAACTGGTGTCGATAGAGTAGCGATTGAAGTGGTTCTCAAACGTACAGAAGCACGTTTCTTTTTATCGGTGCTGACATCACCCGAATGTGAAGAGAAGACAGGGAAACGACTTTTAGATTTGGTAGGTCCTAAAATTTCCAAGTTTGGTTCATTGTCTTCATAATAGTCATTATTGGAGGTGTCGTCACTTGTGGAAGTTGTGACTGCATCTGAAGGAGAATGTTCAACAACAGTTGAAGAGGAATGTGAAGTCTCTGGGGTGGAAGTAGATTTTGGTGTTTGTTGTTGTGGTTGTAGTGAAGGAGAGGTCACAATGATCGAACCACTTGTGTTCAAGGTCTTTTCATGGGTGATGACGTGACAGTGTTGACATTCGAACTTGGAGGAGAAGTGGAAGCTGAGGTGGATGTTGTCACAGGACTGGATGGCGAAGATTGTTCAGTTGGTGGTAGACCTTCTTTGGACATGACCACTGTTCTTCTAACCACACGAACAACCTTTTTAGTGGTTGCGACAGGTTGTTGTTGACCGTGTAGTGGAGTTTCTTCCTGGTAAGAGGATGGCTGAGATTGATCATCTTGAACGACTGGTGTTGGTGGTGTTGGTTGTGGCTTTTCATGTTGCTTCTCTTGTTGTTGCGCCTTTAACCTTTCTTGTTTAGCTTCTGCTTGCTTAAGCTCTGCTTGCAATCCTTCTTGTTTGTGTTTGGCAGAAAGGAGTTCTTGTTCTTGTTGTTGGATTTGTTCAGCCTGTTGTGATAATTGTTTCAATAACATGTCATTCTTTTCGTTAAGAGAGGTGATCGTATTATTGAGATCGGTAATGGTGGAATTGAGTTCAGAAATCTTGTCTTTTGCTGCTTGATTTTTGGACTTGTTTTCTTCTTCCAATTTTTCACACTTTTTCTTAAGTTGAGCAAGTTCCTTCTCTAGGTTCTTGATGATATCAATTTTAGTATCGAGTTCACCTTCAAGCTCTGCTTTCTTGTCTTCATATTGTGAGTGAATGTTAGAGATTTGATTTTCCAAATCTGAAATTGTGTTATCTTTCTGTTCGGATTTGTCAGTCAATTCCATAATTTCCTTTTGTAATTCAAGTCGCTCTTGTTTGTGCTTTTGTTGTACTTTTTCCAATTCACTTTGATGTTTGACTTTCAAATCATCAATGGCTTGTAAATGATCATTTTCAGCATCTCGTAGTTTCCTCTCGTGCTCTTTCAAAGCCACAGAATGTTTTTCAGTAACTTCTTTAATTTTTTCAACTATTTCATTTTCATATCGAGCTGTGACTAATTTACGTTCTTCCTCAACTGCCTTATTCTTCTCCATTTCAAGTTCACTCTTTGTTTGTTGAATCAAAAGAATGGATTTTTGCTTTTCTTCTTTTAGAGATATTTCCAAATTATCCACCTTAGATCGTGATTCAACCAATTCTGTTCTCGTTCTCTCCACTTCTGAATTTTTCTCTTCAACCAAAGATTTGAGATTTTTGACTTGATTTTGTTCCTCAGAGAGACTTTCTTTGAGTTGATTGATCTCACTGTCATGTTTAGTTGTCAATCGAGTTGTAAGAGATTCAATTTCTGTCTTTTGAGCAGATTTTAAAAGCTCCATAATGGATTTTTGATCTTCACACTCAGAACGTGCTCGGTTAAGATCGTTCTTAGTTTCTTCATATTTTGATTTCAGGCTGGTCAAATTATTTTTCTCATCTTCAAGTTCTTTCTTCACACGTTCATGATCTTTGACAAGTTGTTGATACTGTGAATCCTTTTCCTTGAGATCATTTTGCAGTGCTTCTACCTTCTTCAACAGATCTTGATTTTCCTGATTGATACTCTCAACACTGGACATGTTGGAAAGAACGGCAGTACTTTTTTCGGAGAGCTCTTTCTCAAGTTTTTGATTGGCATCACGGAGAGATGAGAGTTTGTTTTCATAGTCGGTAGTAATACGATCCAACTCGATTTTAGAATCTTTCAGCTTCTTTTCAACTTCTTGCAGTTCATTAGTCAATTTTTCAACCTTGTTTTGGGAAGATGTCTTTTCATCTTCAATATTTCGAGAGTACTCTTCTTGTAATTGTTGAACTTGTTGTGCATGTTGTTTTTGGAGAGTTGATTTTTCAGATTCGAAATGTCTTTCAAGTTTGTCTTTGGCTTTTTCAGCGTTTTCTAAATTCAACAAGGCGTTTTCGTGTTTTTTCTTCCACTCTACCAATTCAGCAGATTCCTTCTCCAATTCAGAGCGTAAGCTTGAAATTTCCACAGAAAGAGCTTCCTTTTCCTTATTCAACTTTTCAACAGATTGTGTAAGTGAATCAATCTCTGTTTGCAATTGATTCTTTTGTTTCAATTTTTCATCTTGCAGTTGAGTAATCTCAGAAGATAGTTCTTTGATTCTTTGAAGATTGGATGAATTTTGAGAAGCTAATACAGATGATGACTCCACTGATTTTTCTTGCAATTGATCTAGTTGTTGTTGAAGTAGATTAGCCTCTTCCTCTTTTGATTTCAGCTTATTTTGTAAATTACTCAATTGCTCCTGAAGTGAGGTCATGTTTTGTTTGGTCTCGAGTTCTTTTTTGGCTGCCTCTTGAAGACTGGACCTGATCTCAGCAATGGTATTTTCAGATTTTACCTTGTCATTGTTGAGAATTTCATTTTGCTTTTCAGCTTTTTCAGCACGATCTCTCAGTTTGCTCACTTCTTCTCTCTTCTGGCCAAGTTGTGAATTGATTTCTTCAATTTCCTTTTTCAGATCAGAATTCTGTTTTTGTAAATTCTCAATTTGAAGAGTGTTCTCAGAAATCTTGTTATTTAAAGTTTGAATCTCTTTTGATTTATCCTCAATGGTTTTTCTATGTTGAGAGAGGGTAGTTTGAGTGGCTGATAATTTCTTTTCAAGGTCTGCAGCCTTTTCTTTCTCGGTACGCAATTGGTTTTCGAGTTCCTTGAGCTTGGTTTCCAGAGTGGATTTTTCATTTTTCAAATTGGTCAGTTCTTGTTCTTTTTGTGAAAGAGAGCTATCTAATTTGGAAGATTTCTCTTTTTCACTGTCAACACTCTTGATCAATGTTTTAAGCTCTTCTTCCTTGGATGAAATGGTCGATTTTAAGGACTCGATATTCGATTTGAGTTGTGATACCTCCTTTTCGAGCTCTAACTTTTGTTTCTTCTCTACTTCCAACTCATTGAAAGTATTTTCTCTACTTGCCTTTTCTTGTTTCACACTTTCTTTCAAGTAAGAGATTTCTAATTTGTTTTGTTCAATTGATTTTTCATATTCAGCATTTTCTTTTTGATAAGTGGAAATCTTTGAACTTGCTTCTTGTTCTTGCTTCTCCAAAGCGGCAATCCTTTGTGACAATTCGTTCATTGTTTGTTTTTGTTTGTCAATTTCTTGTTTGAGAGCATTTCTTTCTTCCAAGGTCTTGTTCATTTCATCCTTCAGTTTGGAAACTTCTTTCTTTGATTCCTCGAGCTGTTTGTTCAGCAAAGTAATATTCTTTTCATTTTCAATCTTGATAAGACTGAGTTGTGTGTTAATGGTTTCTAACATGGAAGGACCCATGGTTTCAAAAAGTGAAGTTTGAGCGTTTGCACAAAATTGTTTCACATCTACTGTTAATTTTTCTCTCACTTCAGTCTTGGCACGTTTGATTTGCTTTCTCAGTAACAACAACTTGCTTGAAATAGTGGTCTTATAATTTTCATGAGCGGACTCGAGTTTTTTCTGCTGTTCTGTCAAGGTTTCAATTTCTCTCAGCTTTTCGGAGAGAGCTTTGCTGGTACTTTCAAGCTTTTCTAATTGCTCCTTGATCTTTTCTTCATCCTCGGCTGTTTTTTGTTTGAGTTCTTGTTCAGAAGATTTCACCTTGCTAAGTTGAAGTTGTAACTGATCGATCTGATCCTTCAGTGTGGAATTGACCTCTTGTAATGCTCTATATTGAGAGTTTGTTTCTTCCAAGTTTTGTTGCAAATTCTTAATTTGTTGCTTTTGTTGGTAGTACTCCTTTTCTGTGTCTTGAAGTTTTTTGAGATCCGTAGCAACGGAAGCTGTTTCGTGTCATGATGGTATTTGCATAATAGTCAGCAATGCAAACAATTCGTTGCAAAATTAATATCCAATTGCTATCACGTGAAACACTTACTAATTAATTGTTCTGCAGTAGAGTCAATGGTCTTTGTGAGATCAGAAACAGGAGCTAAACCTGGATGAAAACTTAATTTTTCCGTTGTGATGGATGAAACAGCAACATCTCCATCAGTACCTGCAACAACAGCGTCATCCGGCACAAATGGTAAAAGGTTCTCTGTTTTCACTCCTCGTACCACAAGGTTTTTCAAAGCTGTGTCCGCAAATTCCAAAACTCCCAGAGTGAATTGAGCTGCATGAGGAATGGCGGGTGAGCAATTTATAAAGGTGGTAGCAATACAGTTGTGCAAAGAGCGAGAATATAGAATAGCTGATAAGCTCGAGGAATAGAACTGGGAGTCATCCTCTTGAGATTTGGGATCATTCATCAAGTTGCACAAATCGGAAAATGTCGCATGTCCATTTTCGAGTTCTTCGGCCTCTTCTTCTGAAATATCAATTAAGGGAGATTCAAGATCGATACAAGTCAATTTGCTACAGATGGTTTTTTGCTTTTCATTGTCCTTTTGTGTCACGGTTAATTCAACAAACAGGTTGGAAGCAAATTTTGTATCTTTTTTAACTTTTTCAATTTTTCGTTTTTGAATTGATGAAGCCAAAATGTCTAATAACTCGTCATCAGCCTCCACGAATTGTTCAATGAGTCCGTTAATTTCAATTTCTTGTGTATCCTCCTGCAATAGACATTCGAGACCAGTGAAATCTTGATGTAAATTGTGGTTGTTATGATGTTAGTATGTCAATCATTACATGAAATAGTTGTATTATCATGAAATAAAATCAGGCATGTCATGAATGACATTTTAATCAAAAAGTCAACAGAGTTTCAACCAATCTAAAATACCTACCTTCGGAGTGTTGTTGTTGAACATGACTATCATTCAACAAATCACAAATGATACCACTTCCACTCCATACTTCATAAACACTCACTTTAATTGTGAATGAAAGTGTTTCTGGACTCTCCACAATAGCATCGAAAATTCCACGAACAAATCTCGGCAGAATACCATCAGTGTCCTTTTCCTCTTGCCAATCGATCACTGAGCCAGCATTCACAGCTTCGGAGCCCAATATTGTGAAAGTTTTACCTGACTTGGGTGGTGCACCCCATGACAAGAAGGTAACATTTCGACCAGACATGAAGGTAGAGATCATCGGGCGGGCTGCTTCTTCAAAGACTTCGCCCTGAGCTGTGTTCATGTTAAAAACCCGATCGAATTGAAATTCTTTGGGTTGATCAACACCATACTATTTTTGCGAGTCATTGGTGAATGAATAAATGTTGGGCAAAGTAGTAGCAGAAGTAACAATGATGGTATTCCAGTTAGTAACATCAGCACACCCATGGTTGATGGTCCCAATGAGATCAACAGGAGTCATAGAGACAAATTCACGTGGTCAGGAGTCGATGAATAAATACGACCATTACGATGAGGAAAAGTGGTTCATATGATACAATACAAATAGAGATGTCAAAACACATCAGATGTTCGAGTCCATAGAAATTCAAATTTCATCGGATGTTACACACACGACAAAATACAAACCTTCAACAGGAGCTTCTTTCCTGACTTGTGAAAGGCAGCACAACACTTTGTGGCATCATCTTTGTTGGCTGTAGGTGGATCGATTGCGAGAACGTGTGGTCTGAAACGAATGAAAACTCGTAATTTCTCATCCGTCGTCGTCGAGGTGGGTGTTGTGCTTGTCATTTTTTTGGTGATGAGAGCTACTGCGAATGTCAATCTGTCGTAGAGCAAGGCAGGCAGGTTCAAAATGAGTTTTCAAAAACAAGGGAGATAGAAACTAATTATTCTCAAGAGAAGAGCTCCTAATCCAAACTCGTATCTTGTCTCCTCCAAAATAAACATCATGAATTGAGAACTGACTGCAGTGTAATCATTGCCTGGATCTAAAAACAACAACAACAACATGACATCGAAATGTCTTATTGTTTGTTAAAGCTTATCATAATTTAAGTAGAAGTGAATGCGGGATCCGATCTTATAAGATAAAGTGGAGAAAAACCCAACTTCTCCTAATTTATTGTGGATATATTTTATGATTATATTATTTAAGAAAAAAATATGCAAAGTTCTCAAAAATTTACAGCCTCAAGCAACCTTACCATAGAGGATCATCATCAAGAACAGCATGGGACGTCGGTACTCTCATCCTCAGAGTCTTCAACATCATCGTCATTATCAACAATGACTCCGAGTATGGATCAGAGTCATGAATTAATTCCTGAAGCTCCTGTTGCCGATGAGAGCTTGAATGTCCAGCAAGAAATTGGAGAAATGACAGCATTAGAAGCTCTTGATTTTCTGATTGAGGAAAATAAAAAACTGTGGAAAGAAAAGATAAAATTTGAGAATGTAAGTCATTCCGAGTGAGCCCGTTGACTCAAAATGTTAATTGTTTATTTCAATATCCCATCCCATCATCATCATTGGTTCAACAACGGACAGTACGCCTACGCCTTAAATCAAAGTTTATTAGAATCGGAATCAAAATTGAAAAAACTAGCAAGATATAAAAAAGCCTTCTTGCAAGAGCAAGAGGAAAAAGAAAAGATGAGAATCCAAAATGAAAAACTTGAGAACGAAATTAAAAAAGTGAGAGAAGAAAAATCAAGATCTTTCACGTCGACGAATCAATCAAACTTGGATCTGCTCCAGAGTAACATTGCAAAAATGCAAATACAAACACAACAACATGAAAAAGAGAAACAGCATCTGTCCCTTCAAGTTAGAAAAATCAAAACAAAAATCATTGAGACAAAGTTGGATCAGAAATCTTTGAAAAGTGAAGCCAAGTTCTTAAGCACTAAATTTTCAGACGAGTTTTCTTCCCTTATAGAAACAATTAAGGATAACATAAACATGAAAATGGATCAAATGGACAATGAACTCGATAAAATGGAAAAACAATATAACAACGTGTTGAAGGATAGCGAAGATCAAGTTAGAGAAACAGCAGGCTTCTTGTTAAAAGTTGGGCAAACTGTAAAGAGTTGGAAACGACGATGGTTTGTGTTTAGAAAAGATTTGACCTTCAGTTACTTTAAAACCGTTGAGGATTTGAAGCCAATTGACACGATTGATGTATCAATGGAAGAAAGCTTGGATATCTCTGCAGACGTGACTCAAGGAAAGCCTTTTGCTTTCAAATTGGTGACAAAAGACAGAACTTATTACTTGTGCGCAACCAACGAGGACGAAAAGAGACGATGGATTTCGACACTTAGAAGGTGGTTTGAGGTGAATAAGGCGTACTTGACGAAATGAATCCTTGCACGACCACGCAGAAGGATTATCTCTATAACCACCGGAAATCCATGAGCAACGTAAATTAGGATCATTACGTCCTGCAAGACACTTCCAAGCAGTTTCAACACCCAAATCGATTCTGAGTTGTGCGTTCTGTCTCAAATTGTCCAATTACAGGTTTCAGTAACCACAAGTCCGTGGTACGCACGGAAAACAACCTCGAGCACTATATTGCATGAAGGGATTCTTATGCCGGCACACAAGATCAAAAAAAACGCTCAAAAATATGCAACCGCAACAGAGATCGTCCATTCCCTCCAAATCCACCAAAGAATCCAACAACAACACAAAAACACACAACACGGATTACTTGACGACTAGTAATGGAAACAATGTATCAACAACAACAACAACCAACAATACACCTTGGCTACCATCTGCCACCACTGAATCATTCCACAACAATACAAAAAACACCACTAGCATGACTTCAGATCATCCGTTTGGGCCTTTTCAAATTCACCAACAACAACTCGATATAACGATAACAACAACAACACAAACACCACCCACTCAACACTACCCATTGTTGTTCTCATCATCCTCTTCCATTTCACCATCGCCACCATCCTCCTCATCATCAATATCGAACCAATTTACGCCAACGAGTAATGCTCATCCTCCTCCTTCTCTCATCTCCAATATGGTCAACAACTCATTTCCGAATTCAACTCCAATGAATATTTCCTCCCTGTTACCGTTTGCTATTTCACCACCTCCAACACGCTTCTTTTCAATGCTTGTTTCTTCAAGTAGTAGCAATAACAACAACATTAATCATCAACCACAACAAGCATTACCAACTCAATCTGTTTCATCATCCACTACTGATGCTGCTATTGGAGTAAGTAGTATTGGTGGCACTGTCGGAAATTACCAAAGTAACAACAACAACCGCATTCATCCATCATCTCCTCAACATTACCTCTCAAACGATAATACTCTCTTCTCCTCAACAACAATTCCACTCCAGCCAGCAATGCCTACAGGAACTAATGAGAGAGGACAACAACAAAACGTGTTTATACCAAGCATTCATGCCAATTTTACCACATTTTCTGGCACTGGTCAAGGATCAAATAACACTTCATCACAACCACCTCCAACAACAACAACAGATAATTATTCTTCAACGTCACAATCAATGCATTCTGATGAAGGGAAGGATGTAATCAATATTGGGCCAAACAATTCGTCGACGTTATCGAATAAGCCTCCCTTGGATGCTCCAGCAGCTGTGTTATTATTGGAGCCTCCCTCACTTTCGACGATCATTGACGATCACCATCCGACAATTCCCACATCACTCTACTTTACAAGAAAAACTCAAATGAGTGAAAGATTTTACCGACCACAGCAAAGATCATCCTCCTCATCATGCATAGAAGACATTGACGATGATTCGGGAAGTATTGCTACACTAGTACAGCAAAACAAGTCACGCCAACATAAACACGGTTTATGGATGAATGATCATGATTGTGATCACATTTGTGGTTGTGTAGAAGACAAGATGGAAGCAGAATTGAGATTACAAGATAACTTTGAAACCAATTATTTCCACTCCAAGAAAAGGTCAAACTCTCACAACAGTTACAAGTATGATGACTCAATGAATCCACATAACACAGACGAGGATGAAGAGCCCTCTCACTTTGAATGTATTGAAAATGCCTCAAATCTTATTTCAGGCTCTAGTATTGATGATGACCACCTCATTCAACAACGCAAGAAACGAAAGAAGACACTTGAAGAGAATTTGTTAACAGGCTTTTCCAATTTGTTACAAAATTTAGAGCCTGACTGTGTCTTGTACATATTTCAGTTTTTGAATTGTACAGGAAAAGATAATTGGTTTTGTAACGTTAGAAACATGTATGGAAGGTTTAAAAAGAATAATCAAATTTTGCCACTCTTTAGATACATTACCATAGAGCAACATAGTACGCTCAAGTTAGGATTTGGATCTCTCAAAAATCATCAATCAATGGACTGTAATATTCAGAGTTTATCCATACATCGTAAAACCAATCAGCCACTGGAGTGTGAAATTGGGTATATGAGCAAAGTTGGACGTTCCTTAAAAACCTTCATTTATTACAACCATTGTGGAAATAACCCAACATATCCTTCATACGCTTTACAGGGAGGTAATGTTATCAATATTGATGCCTCATCCTGCGTCGACACAACATCTACCAATTCAAATAATACAAATGGGAAAAGCACATATTCATTCAATGATGGCATGTCATCATCGTCAGAGGATGAATTGGAGGAATCAAGTTTTGAATTGATCGAAGATGAAAATTCTCATGTGATCGGACTGAAGAGAAAATCTCGCTCTGAAGGCTCATGCTTTTTGAAAGAAATCTATAGAAATTGCAAGGCTCTTGAGAAACTAAAAATTGTGGACATGGAAGGTTATGTACCCATTAAGGTCTCTCTTCGCTTACCAGCAAGTCCAAAAGGTGCTAGCCCTCCTCTAGCGTTTTCAAATACTCTACAAAAAATTAGACTCTTTAATTGTGTTCTTCCCTCTCATGCAATGAGCGTAATTTGTAAAATGACACAACTGGAGAGCGTACATTTTGAAAAAACCTTTGTGAGTGACGTGAATGAATATGATTCCCTTCTCTCCCTTACCAAACTTAAGGTTCTAAAGTTGCAAGTTGCACAGCTTCCCAAAAAACTCTTGAAAGACATGCCCACCACATTCACTTCTCTCGAAAAACTCTTTCTGAACGTTTCACAAAAGACAGATGCGTACGATGAAAAATTTAACGTGGAGTTGTTAACTAATCTAAAATCACTGAGTATCATTAGCCACTTTAACCTTGATTTATTGGCTCTCATGAGAAATTGTACCAGAATTGAGTTTTTACAACTTGGTTTCGATGTTTGCTTTAATCATATCTTCCCCAATGAGAAATTGAAGTATTGCATCCTAAGAAATGTGTTTATTTCACCTGATCGATCCAAAGTACTCATCCAAAACAACACTCTACGATGCCTCAAGTTGTCTCCTGCCAGCATACGAGCAGCACAAAGAGAAATTGCCTACATTACCCAACAAAGAGCTCTCTTAAATAAGCATCCTTTATTGATCACAGAGTTTTAGGAGGTTTTTAATAAAATTTGGCGCTCTGACTTTCAATTCCATT